CACCAAGGATCTTCAATTTTACATCGGAAACCACCCCCAAAGTTTGAAATCGAAGCATTATTTCGACTAGTTATGCTGTACAAAGACACAAAAAAAACACACATCATTGTAAAATCAATACATTCATCACTTCGTTCAGAATCTAAAATAACTAGATTAAATTTCCGGAAACTACCCTGAAAGTTGAACAATTCTGCATTTTACTACTACCGAACGTGATAAAAAATAACTTATTGACTAATTTATTATGTACATTCACGGAATTGCTCAGAATCTAAAACAATTAGGTAGGTATATCTGCTGATAATGAAATCATTGTCTCATTATTCACCCTTATGAATGTACTTCCACGACATGCGCGACATTATATGTTGTCGTTTTGTTGCTACGGTAACTACATTAACAACAAATTTAGTCCATGCTATTAAGCAGAATAGTAGTAAGTAGATAACACATGTTTTTGATCATAAACCTAGAATGTTTTAAGAATTATTTTACAAGTTTCAAATTTAAATTAATTTTTTTTTAAATGACAGACATTCGGAAAATCTTTATTATGAAAACAGCAGGTAAATTATAATATCTATATTTATACATTTATATCATTGTATATAGTATTTAGGTAAACATTTTTTATAAATATATTCATTAAATTTTGTTAATTTACAGGTAACTATTTTGGGCTTGATACATTTGATGAAAATATAATTTTAAAATCGGGTTCTGAGCACTTGAACGCTTTCTTGAACTCTTCTAATTGTTGCACATTATATATAAAAAATACAGACACTGAAACACTAGAAGCAAATGACAAAAACGTAAGTAAAAAAAAAAAAAATATTTAATAGTACCTAGTTGTGATAATTAACAGCATTCTGTTATATATAAAACAATAATTATGTAATTAATTATTTCGTTTTATGCTCAATGGCCTATGTTACCAAGGGTATATAAACAATTTAAAAAAAATTACAATATAGACTATAAATMTAAAATCAGTGGTTTCAAACACGGAGAGACTGTGTGCGACGTGTGGTCTTCAGACGCTTTCGATGTGGCCCGCAATAATTAATTCAAACATTTATTTATAAATGTTTATATATTTTTTTTTTTAATATTGAAAGACAACATTTTTTAACTATATATTTTAGTTATAATATTTGACATTCTTAGTGTCTTTTCTTTACATCCTGTATTAGTAATTCCTAATTACCAATAAAATAGTTTTTATAATTTGTAGTATTTGTAACAAAATGAGTAGGTACATGATACTTATATTAGTGTGTTTGCCATGCGCGTAAATCAAAAATCGTTACACCTTATAAATCATACATTTTATAGACATAAATAAACAAAAAAAAACTGAAAAGGTCTACAAAAATGTTTTCTGCGTACTTTTGAATTTTTGGTGTATATATTATACATATATATGCATATGGCCCGCTAGTAATTTGAGTCTGAGACCACTACTATAAATTATAGGTTTAAATGTAAACAACAGTTTATATAATTATTTAATCTTTGTTAATTTTAATGAGGAGGGATAAGAATTTTATACACTTGCAATAGGGKGACGAGGTGGCCGAGCGGTGTAACGCGTCAGCTGTGGCTCAGCCGGACCGGGTTCGATCCTTGACCATCAGGCGACATTTTTCYCCGGGAAAGTCACGGTGTCCGGAGAATAAGTGCCGCCATCCCCCACTCCGGGGCATTGCAGATACCTACGGGTGCCCCAATTAAAATTCTGCCAAAACTCACCCACGTGTAACACACCTACGACCGTTCCATAAACCTGCAGTACCACCCCCTTCCCAATGGCCCAAGTTTCCACGGGATAATTAATAAAAATAAAAAAACACTTGTAATAAATTTTAGTCACAATTGTATTATTTATTTATAGGCTTTTCAAAAAGATCAGAATAACAACATAATAGTATTTTATAAAACAAGATCTGAAAGTATAACAGAAGATAATTTACACTCTATTATATGCGTGTATTCCATGTTAGATTCTCCAACAGAAGCACTCTATAATAGTTTGCATTATATATACACACCTTCACTTTTAAAAGTAATTAATATAATAATATCTATACGCTATAAATACATATAAAATATAAGTTAGTATTTTTGTATGTTATATGTATTTGTAACGTGAATTTGGCTGGAAATTCTTATAAATATGAATAGAAATATAATTATTTTATGTTATAAAAACCATAGGATACTGAATCAGATATAAAACTCGACCCGAAATTACAATGTCTAATTTCAGACCTCGAAATGGGATTAAAAACTACTATTTTAAAGTCATCACTACAGCAGTTAAATAATTCAATAGAACCACACTTAGGAGGTAATTATTATTCAAATACGTACATAGCAAGAAATATTGAAACGATCTAAAAAAGTTTTCGTAGCTATTCTAGACATTGAAGACGAAGCTGACTATTGGTGTGTTGTAAAAAAACATACAAAAAATAAAGAAGAATCGATCGCAGCTGAAAAAATATGTTCTTTATTTTTACCTGTAACAAAGCAATTAAAGTATCTATTATTTTTAGTATTATTTAAATTATATATTTTATATACCTTATATTAAAATATTATTATATTACATATTATTCTCTCTATAATCTTTCTTTTAGAGAATCGTCTATTCATGACATGGAGGAATGCTTAGAAAACATACACAATTGTCTCGATGACATATGGAAAATCGAAGAAATTAAATATCCTCAAACCAGAATGGAACATTTATTTGAAGTTATCGGAAACGGTATGATAAAACTCATTCAACGAACAACAAGTGATATGAATATATGGACTGGAGATCATAATGCAAATATAGACACGTTAAAAATGTGTATGAAAACCTGTAACAAATGGATTAAAATATGTGAACAGTTRACTATGTTGTATTGGCCAAACTACACTTATCATAAATGGATTGGTCCAACATTTTTGCCGAAAAACTTAATCACATTTTCTAATCATATTAAAGAAGTTAGTATAAAACATAAATATAAGTAACTTTGCTTTAATTGATTATTAATTTTAGATAATATCAATATTATGTGTAAATAACCAAATGATAAAATTATTGAGTGCCTATGAGCAAGAAAAATTGAGAACATCAGAAAATTTGAGATCATTTATCGGTAAAAATTAAAAACTTATATTTTAAAGCGGTTATTAATGTTATTGACTACCATTTATTATATATTCTTTAATAAGTAATAACGTATACACTACAATAATAATAACTATTAAATGTATAGAATTCAATGGTGTGAGTCAATTAAATACTTACACAAAACAGAAATGGGAAGCTGCTGTAGAAAAATTTGAACAAAAATTGCAACCAGCTGAGGATTTAATTGCTGGGAAACTTAGAAATTTGATTAATAGTAAAAAATCAAACACTGTAGAAGTAATAACAATTRATAGTATTAGTATAATATCTATTTATGGTATATTTTAAATATCAAAATGTTATTATTAATTTTGAAATAGCTAATTCATGAATTTACTCATTACCAAGAAATAATAGAAAGGCCAAAAATGTTTGTTCAACTCAAAGGAGAATTGGAAAATTTCCTAAATTGTCTAAAACAAATTATCAGTGTAATAGGAGATAATGCCGATGGAGAACAAAAAATGAATGTACTAGAATTAGCAGGTTTAGAACCAATTGTACGAAATTTATATTCATTGAAACAACAAGAAGCTAAGGTATTAAAACCTAATTAAACTATTTTAAACTCTAATTTCTTCCTCACAAACATGAAACTCATATTCAAATTTCAAAAATTTGTTTCAATATTTAATACGTAAATTTTTTTACATCGTTTATTAACGCTTACATAATTTTCATTTCAGTTAAATGATATCGAAAGAGTAAGCGATCGCATACTAGCTAATTTAAATGATTATCCACAACTCAAAGACACATTAACGGTTCAAAAGAAATGCATTAACAATTTGATGACAGAAACTTATAGTAATTGGATAAAAGATAGAAAATCTGCAGTAATTAACAAAAGTTTTAGGTATACAATTTAAGCTATTTCAAAATACAATTAACATTTATTACACCATTTTGTAGTTAAACTTATATAACTATAGGCCTGTTTATAAAAAAACGATGATTATTAATTAATAACTATCACATGAATGCTGAATAATTGTATCAGGTATGTATAGTTTACCTATGGAATTAATTTGGTAGCCAATATAATATATATAAGATATATAGAAAATATTTAAACTACCTGTCTAAATATTGTGTAAAATAAAAATTAGTATTTATTTTGACCTTTTTAATTTATACTTTGTACAATTAATAATAGGTTTAATAAATATTTCTAATGAATCCCTAAGAAAACAAGAAGGAAATAGAAAAAATACTTTAAGTGCTAACCTAAAAAGTTGTGTAAAATTGTGTTGTGAGATATTTATGCAAACTGCAATAAATGTAAATAACTGAGTAAGATTACTCTTTTATTATTGATTTTATTACACAAGATTAATAGAAACAAAAGAGAATAAGTTGCAGGCATGTTGTTTGGCTACCATATTATTATTAAAATAAATTATATCGAGAATAAAATAGATAACAAAGAGTTAACAGGAGAACCTTTAGTAGTCATAGTACCAATAACCTGAATACATGTTGAACTGTATTTTACATACATTTTCTGATTAACTCTATTGCATAATTGCATTTCATGAACAATGAACATAGGTATTATATATAAATTTTTTTTTTTTTTTAAAGTTCATATTACTCATGATAAATTGGACATTAATGTATATGTTATGTGCTTGAAAATTATATTTAAAACTAAAATATAGAAAATATAGTTTATAGCCTATAGGTAGAAAATCTTTAATTAATTATTCTTGATTTACACATAATAATAAAATGGTAAGGTGGTCTATATAACTATTGACTATACTATGCCAATCTGACACTGACACTGACAATAATTATTAATACTTAATAGTTAGTAGTTACAAATACATATCTAAAATMAACCAATATTTAAAGGTTAAATTCTGATGATCCTGTGGTTTACTTTCAATCCAACAAACTGATGAAAGTCAATTTTAATCCGGATATAGAATTACTAATTAGAGAGGTAAAAATGTTAAAAATTCTTGGCTACAATATTCCATCTGAKATAGAAAATGTATCGGATATGGGAAGCAAATTTATACGGCAAGCAAAATCTCTCGAACAAGTATGAAAATAAAATATTTATTCAATAATATTTGGTGTACGATTGGTTYATAATAATGATTAAAACATGTTYCATACCTTAGATAGCTTCATTTCATAACACAATAGGAGATCGAATGATCTCTTCTCAAAGGCCCATGATGCTGGCATCAGCAGTCGAGTTGTTAAATCTTGTTAAACAGCAAAAAAATGTAACATGGACCGATATCCATTCTGTTGATATTTATATACTAGAAATGCGAAAACTAATGGAGAAAATATCACTTGAAAATCAAACATTAGCTAATTACCACCAATCCATATCCAATAAGGTAAACTAAATAATAAAATGTTGATAAACGCACAATTAACCATTTAATTATAATCAAATCAAATCAAATGTATTTTATGCCACTAACATGTTTTAGATTATAAATCTTATGAGTATAGATGTTTTGCAAGAACAACAACAGTGGAAGGTCTGTTTAAAAAGCATCAGAGACATTGTRAGACAAGTCGAGGAAAAAGTAATATAAAGCGTAAATTTGTAATTTATATTTTATGTTAAAATAAATAATCTGAGTGATATCAATCGTTTTTTCATAAGTTTTCCAACTGTGAAGCGTGGAAAACACACTTGGATTTTCAAATATACAAAGCCTTAAACCATAGATATCAAATAGGACTAGAAGCTCTAAATCAACATTTGCCCGATTTTAGAATAGAAATTGTATACAGGTATAATTTATTGTATAAAACATATGCAAATTGAAGTTGAGAATGTTTAATTACATTTTTATTTTTATCAGGCAAAGACAATTAAAGTTTAACCCTCCAATAGAAGAGATACGAATGAAGTATTATTCTCTACTGAAAAAATTTATATCAGTACCAATTGGTTTTCGCGGTATAGTGAATTCGTCCGTTTCAATATTTGCATCCATAGTAGACATGTATGTAACAATTATTGTTACATTTTTATATTATTTAAACGTTACAATAATGTACTATTGTTATTTTTTTAAGTAATGCATCCAAATTCCCTAAGTTGTTCTTAAGAGCCGAAAAATTATTTGAGAAATTAGAAAATGTTTTAAAAGAATGGGAAAATAGAGTTTCACTTGGTTCAATAGACATTGAGAAAATGATTCAAGAAAATATTAAGACTGCACACGACTGGGAAAACAATTTTAGATCCTCTAAGTCGTGGGGTCAACAGATAGCTAAATTTAACTGGTAAATTTAATAATTATTGTATTCTATAATATTACTTATTCAATAAATGTTAAAATTAATTGTTTATTCAACTATTGTAGCGCTGAGTTAAATGTCGAGTGCTTTATTGTAAGCACTGCAGCAGTGCGATTAGAATTGGAAGCACATAATCGTCGTTATTGGGATACAATGTCTACTTTATTGCATTCATCGATTTTATTTGACATTGCTACGTTAAACAAATTTATTGAAGACTCTGTCATTATGCTTCAACAACAAAATTCATCAGCAAAACAAATAAACAATAAACACAAAAAAATAGTTAACGAGTCATACGAAGTAAAATCTTTGAAAAATAATTATCATGAAAGCCGAATCATTAATATWTTTTTCTTTTTAGATGAATCTYATAGCCTTGGAAATTGTAAAAAAACAAAAGGTTTTATCAAATTGGACAAATGAAAAAGTAGATAAAATGAACCAGACCTTATCCAGTTGGGAAAACTTTAAAAATATGCTAGAAAATCATCAAATGGTTATGAAACAGCAGATAGATGCAATGAAAAGTAATTTAACAGYGGAAATRCAAACCATTTTAAATATGTTCGATAYATTCCATTCGAAGTGGCAACAATATAAACCAAAAGGTTTTGAAGACGATAACAGTTCCAAATTGAAAAAAGTTGTTGAATTTTTAAAAAATAGTCGTGTCGAATGGAATACGCTAAAAACACAGAAGGAAAAAATAGTGTATGATTATCAAACAATTGTTAACTATTTAAAATCCATGAAATTTTAAGAATCCTTTTTTTGTTGTATAGGAATGACTGCAAAGATGCTTACATTGATATACCAGACTTCAGTTCATATGATTCGATTGAAAATGAATTGCTACATTCTGAAAGCATATGGGGCCTTTACGATGAATTTAATTCAGGTTAAAAATATGTCCATAGTTAAAAATGAAATATATTTAAAAAAAATAATGGTAAAAATTAATTTCAGATTTGCAAAGCATTGGCCAAGAAAAATGGATTGAATTTCGTAGTAAAGCTTATAAAAAATGTATGGATTTTATTTTTAAATGGCAAGAGAAACTTAAAGAAACAGCTGCATCTCCGTTAACAATCAAAATACACAATGAATTAGAAACCTTCAAAGTAATTTATCATATGAATAATTTAAATATTGAATTGATATTTTAAATTGTTTTGTAATAATTTGTTGACTTTAGGYCTTTTCGCTATGCATTAAATATGTTCAGGGAGAAACCTTTACAGAAAAACATTGGATTGAAATGTTTTCATTAATTGGAATTCCGTTTAAGCATATTGAACAACTAACATTTGAAGATTTTATTTTAGTAAAAGATAAAATCAAAGAAAAGCTAACTAGTTTACAGGTAAAAAAATAAAATAAAGATTGCTGAATATACTGATGCACGAGAATATGTACATTATGTTATTATTATTATTACTATCATTATTTACATTACTCGTATATTTGAAGGAATTAAATACTAAAGCATCTAATGAAATTACAATCAGACAAGCATTGTCTGAATTAGATATATGGGAATTTGAAACACATTTCTCTTCTATAAACTATGTCGACTCAAAAGGCCACACTATTCGTATTATCAACGATTTTAAAACTATATTCAACTCGGTAAGATAAATTTTTCTATATAAAATCAAAATGCGATTCGTAGTCTAACACGCATTTTGGAATAATACACATGGTATAGAAGTACAATGTATATATATTTTTTATTTTTTTGATAGATTGGAGAGAAACTATGTTTATTACAGTCAATAAAAAATACTTCAAACGACGAACAATTTTTAGACAAGTCTAATGTATGGGAAGGTAAATTAATGGAACTCGATGCATACCTAAGACAATTTTCCCATATACAAAGAAAGTGAGTTTTTCGATAGGTTTAGATTAAAACATTATTTAAAGTATTAAATAAATATAACTATACAATATTAATTTTAACAGATGGCTATACTTAGACCCAATATTTGGTAGTGGTGCATTGAAAATTGACAAAGAAGTAAAATTGAGATTTGATAGAGTGGATAGAGATTTTAAATATATATTACAGCAATCTTTAGATTCGAAAATCTTGCAGTTTTTGAAAATAAATAATATTAAAAATTTGTTAGAATCCATGCTTAATTTATTAGCAACAACGAAAAAGAGCTTAAATGATTTTCTAGAGGTAAAAAATAATAATAATATTTTGAATAATGTATAATACTACTATTGAATAGTAATACATTATTATTTGATCTAATTATATAAAGGATAAACGAAAGAGTTTTCCAAGATTTTACTTTCTCAGTGATGAAGACCTATTAGAAATGATTGGACAAACAAAAAAAATATCTGTAGTACAAGCTCATCTTAAAAAACTATTTAGTGGCGTACAAAATGTACAGTTCAATTCGTCTGGGAATATTATCGCAATAGAATCACCTCAAAATGAAATAGTAAATCTTGACAAGCCGGTTCAAGTTTCCAATCAAATTGAGGTATAATGAAACTTTTTTTATTGGACGTATATTTATTAGAAACTAAAACTGTATTTAAATCTTAATATAATTACTTTTGATTTATAATATTTTATTTTATTTGTCATATTTATTAGTGTTTAAATAAAAAAAAAGGTGGCAATTGATTTTTTCAATAAAAAATCATTTTATAAAATTTAATCGTTCGCAGGAATGGCTTAAATTGCTTGTTCAAGAAATAACTAATACGTTGAAAACATGTTTTTTGAATTGTCTAAAAGAACTAGACCCTTTGAAATATCCGTCACAGATTTTATGTATAGTAAATGAAGTCCTTTTCAGTTCAAGATGCGAAGAGGCAATAAAAAAACAACAATTACAGCAATTACAAAAGTCTCTAAAAGTAACCGAATTATGTTTTAAACGTAATATTTATAAGTTAAATTAATGCTCTTATTTCGATATAGTATAATCTATACGAATTACAATCAGTATAATCACAATATTATATAAGAATTTGAATTTTTAATCACTTGTATTTTTTCTTGTACATTAATTTTCAAGCTGTCTTAAACGWAATTTAAAATCAAATGTTAAACGATTTCAGAATCAATTAGATACTTATACAGCGTTAAATGTCGAAAGTACTATAAGAGGAGAAATTGTACTGYACTTGAAAATAAAGGGCCTAATTTTAGACACAATACATCATATTAGTGTAGTAGACGAACTTATAAACTCGCGAGTGACATCTATCCACGATTGGGAATGGCAAAAAAGAATAAGGTTTGAATCTAATGCGTATTGTAATATTTTATACTAATTTATGAAATTAAACGAATCAATCAATTAATTTGTACTATAGATTTTACTCACATTCTGGTGGTGAAATAATCATTAAAATGGTGGATTCGGAATTTACGTATTCTTACGAATATCAAGGGATAGCGCCTAAACTGGTACACACGCCACTCACAGATAACTGTTACCTAACACTCACTCAAGTATAAATTACATAATATTTAGTGCTAACGGAATTTTTAGGCTATCGATCTCATGAATGACATTGTTCTTGTTGTCATTAGGCAATGAGTATGGGATTTGGAGGAAATCCATATGGACCTGCTGGAACTGGAAAAACAGAATCGATYAAAGCGCTCGGTTATCTATTTGGCCGACAAGTATTGGTTTTTAACTGCGATGAAGGCATAGATATCAGATCTCTAACACGAATATTAATCGGTTTGGCGAGATGTGGAGCTTGGGGATGCTTTGACGAATTTAATCGCCTAGAAGATTCCACATTGTCAATGATCTCAACAAGAATACACCCAATACAAGAAGCGATTAAAAACAAAGAGATTAGCTTCATATTAGAAAATCAGAAGGTTCGACATTTAAGTTCTTTTAAAAATTCCATTTTAGAAATGATTTAATATAGTTTCTTTAAATTGTATAATTATGATTATCAGTGGTAAAGTATACATATACAGTATAATGTATGTGACTATTTTTAAATATTACAATAAAATAAGAAATATTTAAGTTTTAAACAGTTTAATATACAATTTAGTATACAATATATAGTTTTCCAACCATCACATACAACAGTTAGGTACATAATAAACTCAGTTCTTGTTAGATTATCGATTTAAGTAAAAATTAAACAGGTCTCATATTTTGCCTAATGATTTAAAAACAACATATTTCAGATTGATTTAAATTTGAACGCGGGAATATTCGTAACATTAAATCCAGCAGGACAAGGTTATGGTGGTAGAAATAAATTACCCGACAATCTCAAGCAACTTTTCAGACCTGTAGTTATGAGTAAACCAGATCAAACTTTAATAGCTAACGTAACACTTCACGCCGAAGGATTTAAACACCCGCAAATTATAGCTAAAAAACTCGTTGAAACCTTTGATTCTGCCAAGTAAAATTTTATTAAAGAAATATAAAATAGTTTAAGTCAGCTATAATCTATATTATATTTAATGATAAAATCAATTCCGTTAGGCAATTGTTGAGTGATCAACAACATTACGATTGGGGTCTTCGAGCTTTGAAGACAGTAATTGGTTTTTGCGGTACAATTTTAAAAGCTTCAGCGGTGACTTTGAAATCACTTCCAGAAGAATGTTCGGTCGCAGTACAGGCGTTAGAATTGAACACGATTTCAAAATTAACGTTTGACGATAGTGCACTGTTYAAATCACTTATTTTAAATATATTTCCCGAATTAAAAGAAACTAACTACAGCACTCAAATATATGATACATTGACTCAGAAAATACGGAAAGCAGCAGAGGATATGGAATTACAAATTAATCCAAGACAAGTAAATATTTTAAATTTAAATCGTATAACATCGAAGTGAGTTAAATTATCATTATTATTTATCAAGGAACAAAAATGTATTGAACTTTACGAACAATTACAACAACGCATGGGAGTAGTGGTAATGGGTCCACCGTCGTCCGGAAAAACAACAATAATTCAACTATTGTCGCGCGTAATGACGTATAAATGCTTTATTGATTTTTTAATAGTCTTAAATGAGTTTTTGTATTTTTCAGGCCTTAACCACTAACAACAATATAAAAGTACATAAAATTAACCCAAAAGCTCAATCACGATCGCAATTATTAGGAAAAGTAGATTTGGATACGCGTCAGTGGATCGACGGAATAATTAGCAAAGCTGCTCAACAAGCATATTCAGAAAATCCTGGTAAAACAATTGTATTTATGTACAATAATAATATTAAAAAGCAAAAAAGTGCGTAACGCTCTACTGAATATAATAAAATGTCYAGAGAAGCTTCTGCATGTAATAGATGTGTTAACTTGAATTCAATATGATATACAATTATTTTATAGGTATGAGAAACGAATCTGAATGAAGGCGATCTGAAGCCTATATTATTACTAAGTTTATTTTATCATATTTTTGTGATTAAAGTAATTTATTTTATTGTAAGGCATTAACTAACTAGGTGATAACTACATATCGTGTACAAACACACATGAAACAAGCATTAATGAAACATCAAAGCATTAATCGTTCCACTCAGAATCTAAAATAACAAATCTAAAATTAAAATGATAAAAATAATAATGCTTACAAATTACAGTAAAAAAAAAAACAAATTTTAAACCTACAATAGTTTTAAGATAACGATGGGCGATAATGCCTAACTCTATTTATGTATTCTTAAATCGAAACATTTTTGTATCAMCATGAAAATATATTATAACATTGTCAATATTAGCCAAGTGAAAAAATTAATATGTATAGACTAGACTAAAATACAATTTTGTTTTACTAGTTTACTACTAAAGATGTAGACATAAACAGTAACTCCAAGAGTTGCTCTTTGAATAAAACCATCTTATTAAATAAATAGATAGGTAATTCACTAATTATTAATATTTATTCAATAGTTTTTTTTTTCACACAAATTAAAATTACCTATTTTACATAAATTATAATTTAACGATTACATATAATTCATTATGTTTGATAATCATTGGCTTAAATTATTTTTATAGATATTATTTCTTGGATAATATTTGATGGGGATGTTGATCCCGAATGGATTGAATCGCTCAATTCAGTCTTAGATGATAATAGATTATTGACATTACCATCTGGTTGGAGAATTCAATTTGGAAATAATATAAATTTTATTTTTGAAACACATTCTCTTGGACATGCATCTCCCGCTACTGTATCGAGAATGGGTATTATTCTTCTCAGGTAATAAAATTAAAATAGTATTTACATTCTTATACCAAAAAGTTATTTATACGTATTCCTTATATACTGCAGCGAAGAAGACATAAGTACAAAAAATGTCATTGATTCGTGGATTAATAAATTTCCCAATAATAGTATTATAAAAGATTACGAAATTCAATTTTATAAAGGTAAAAATATAAACTTTAAAATGGYTCTATGAATATRGAATAAATAATATTGAATATTTTTAAGCTCTGAAATGGCTGGACATAAATGGACAGTTTGTCTGTCCATGTTCGACGATATCAACAGTAAAAAATGTCTTACATCTTTTAACCGACGTTAAATCTAAATCCCATTTCATCATATGTCTAATTAACGGATTAGGAGCAAATTTAATTTCATCAAACAGAGATAAATTTAAAGAAATGGTAAAACGTTTATATTAATTAATAAAAAATTAAAGTAATATCATTCCACTTACAATATAATGTGGTGTTTATAAAAGGTTTTTGAAATGTTTGGAGAGTATGTGCCAGAAATAAATGACGCAAAATATTATTGCTATAACGAAATGAGAGATTGTGTAGAAGCTTACAATTTACTAGAAATGGAAAATTCAAATTTATTTGGAAACAAAATCGGCGATTTAATTGAAACACCTAGAATAGCGAACGCTTCTGATATTTTAGTCAAATGGATACAACATAGTTCATCGATTTTCGTTGTTGGACCATCGGCAGTGGGTAAAAGGTATAATAGTTAGCTAAAATATTACCACTATATGGGCATGACATAATTGTTTTTTTCAGCAAAATCATTTTTAAATCTACCAATCTTTTAAGAGGAATTGAATGCGTAACAATTCATTGCAGTGCTCATACTTCTCCAGAACAGATTTTATTAAAAATGTCACAGGTATTAAAATAAGATATTCGTACCTATATGTTTATGAAATAGA